GAAAACTAAAAGACCAGGAAGAAGGAGATAGAAAATTAGCAGAAAGAGATAGAAAGGTAAAAGAAGACCAGGAAGAAGGAGTTAGAAAATTAGAAGAACATGACAATATTTAAGAGGGGCGTTAAAAAAACAGACAGGATACTTAAAGGAGAATTGATACAAAAATAACTGTTATTGAAGACAAGATTTATGAAGCTATAAGGGATGTACAACGGACTTACAACGCTAGAAACCGGGTTTCGATACCCGTGGTGGGCAGAGCACAGATAGCCCTTGTGTAGCTTTGTGCATAATTAAAAACAAACACTACAAGGTATGGAATATGTAAACTTATTTGTTCTACTCCTATTACTACTACTTTTTGTGCCATCTGTTACTGAAGGACCTACCTGGACTACTCCAGCCATCACACTAGTCAATCAAGTTACAGAATTTAGCCGGCCAATTCAACATTTGGCCAATCGATTAACCAATGGACTATGGTGAGAAGATAACATTGAAGTCATACCAAACTCAGTTTGAAATCATCAATGGACTATGGTGGGAAGATACCATTGAAGTCATACCAATCTCAGTTTGAAATCATCAATGGACTATGGTGGGAAGATACCATTGAAGTTTTGGTATGACCTCAATGGTATCTTCCCACCATAGTCCATTGGTGATTTCAAACTGAGATTGGTATGACTCCAGTGGTATCTTCCCACCATAGTCCATTGGTTTAAAATGATTTCAAACTGAGTTTGGTATGCTCAGTTTGAAATCATTTTAAACCAATGGACTATGGTGGGAAGATACCATTGAAGTCATACCAATCTCAGTTTGAAATCATCAATGGACTATGGTAGAAAGATACCATTGAAGTCATACCAAACTCAGTTTGAAATCATCAATGGACTATGGTGGGAAGATACCATTGAAGTCATACCAATCTCAGTTTGAAATCATCAATGGACTATGGTGGGAAGATACTATTGAAGTCATACCAATCTCAGTTTGAAATCATTTTAAGGGTGAAAGGATGTAATAGTGAACAAAAAGCTACCCATCTTGGTTCCCATTATCAGTTTTGATAATACTAAGTAACGTTCTAGCTGAGAGCTATAACAACTATCAAATATTGGTACTGATAACTGCCTAATCCAACAGGTTAGGAGTGTCGCATTAAAAGCTACTCACAACAATTCCAGATTTCCAGGGTAGCATGCACGACGTCACTCAAACTTCAGTTAATCTCTCAATTTTCTTTACAAGGCCATTCCTAGTTTGCCCCTGAACGGGAAATATCCATCTTTCGAGAGAGCTCGGGTTACAGAGTATCGTTATTCTTGTGTTAAATTGATTTCTTGAACCTACATGTTTTCCTAACATCAGGAATAATAATTTCAAAATAATTAATTACCTAAACTTGCAGTATATGTGTATCTAAAATCAGTGGTGTAGGAAGGAGTTGCAAAATGGGGGTGCTTGGCTAGATATGCAGATTTTACGATGAGAAATTGATAGTATAAGCAGTTGTTAAAAGCTTTCTTTCGTATGTAAAAGTGGGGGCGCTAAAGAATCCCCGGTTCCGACGACTCTGCTTAAATTATTGTATGTGATGTCTGACTGTTAAAGAGACGAGACGTTGTACAGAATTAAACATTATCCCACAAACAGCTGTTTCAGAACTTGATATAGTTCTGATACTGGTTTATAAAGAAAATTTTGTAGTTATGCAGCAGCTTACAGCAGTAAGTCTGAATACTGATTATTATATGTGTGTACCTTCCTACATGTATGAAACAATTACGATCACAGAAAACTGATCTAATTTATAATCTTCACTTTCTAAAACAGAAGTCAACTGCATCGTCCTCACAAAAATGCAGGGAATCTTGCCTGTTCCATCTGACAGACAACAGAAGTATAATTCAAGTATAGTTCAAAGGAAGCGAACATTTTAAATAGAGTGGAGTCTCAGTTTATCTGCATGGATCAAGTGCCTGTGTACATTGTTTAAAAGGATGGATTTAAAAACCTGCTGGCCAAACTCCACTACAAATATGAACTTCTTAGTCGCAAGATTCTCATTAATACTTCATGATGAAACAATGGAAGCAGTTAATGGGAATATTCATGCAGTACTGACCTCTGGACAACATAGTTACAGACGCTCATATATCAATAACTGCTCAGAGCTGGGAAATGGAAACAGATCATACTGCTATGGGCCCAAAGAAAGATCTTAATGACACTTTGGATGACTGGAACTTCGATATCAGTAGAATATCAGCAATAACTACTGACCTCTCGGATTCTATGGTTTAGATGTAATTTGGAACTGGGAATCAACAAAGCAATTCACATTGATCAAGCATCAGCAAATTCACCCAAACTGTGTAAAACAGTCTCAGCATACACTAGGTCTTCCAAGATCACAAGGCAGTTGACAACAAAAAACTAGTTTTCCACCATAAACGTGTAAACGATAAGCCTACACTCTGGAATCCAATGCAGGCAAAATTGTGGCCTGTGATAACTTTGTATTCGGCACCCCTTTGGGTGGGCACCCTGTGCTGGAGCAAACGTCACCTGCTCCAAGGGCTAACCTTGGTATGGTGCAGTGTTTCTTGACACTGTCTGTACTGTTCTTACAGTGTTTCTTGAGACAGCAGCAAGCTGTCTGTACTGTTCTAACAGTATTTCTTGAGACAACAAGCTGTCTGTATCATTCTTACAGATGACAGGAAAAAGTTGAATCTAATATCCAAGGATACTTACGTTAGTAGTCTGGAAACCATGAAGAATGTTTTTGGCCCACCAAGTGAGTTCACCGATGCATTAAGCAGAGAGAAACGTGGCACTGTTTCTTCTACTCTTCCTTTAACTTAGAAGACTTGTTAATATCTAACAGCTACTGATGGAGACAGCAACCTGGTCGTTGAAACAAAGGGAAAATTAACTAACAATTTACAACAGAGGTGTGAGGAGAGGGACTGACAAAAGATTCTCGTTCTTACATCTTCTCTTGACCCATGTTTTAAGGATATGTTTGTTTTAAATCAAGAGGTTAAATAACAGCTTTTGCAACAGTTTCAACCAACGTATGGAAACAGGCAAACCCAAGGAAAAAAACAGATAAACTAAATAACAAGAGGATAAAACTTGACTTGAAAGGACTGCTATCCATCATCAACTCACAGGTGAAACAACTGCATTATGAAGAACATCTTGTTACACACTCTTCTAGGGAAAGACTGAAAAGTGGTTGGTTGGTTGTTTTGAATTTCGCGCAAAGCTACACGAGAGCTACCCGTGCTAGCTGTCTCTAATTTAGCAGTGTAAGACTAGAGGGAAGGCAACTAATCATAACACTCACCTCCAACTCTTGGGCTACTCTTTTACCAACGAATAGTGGGATTGACTATCACATTATAACGCCTCCACGGCTGAAAGGGCGAGCATATTTGGTGGGATGGGGATTCGACCCCGCAGATTGAGAGTCGAGCGCCCTAAACACCTGACTGAAAAGTAAGCTTATATTCTGTGGCCAGATGGAAGAAACACGAGTTGAAGATTCTCTAGCTTCGTGGAAGAAAAGTTAGGAACTTTAACTTTGGCGCCTGAGCATTGAGGCTCCTAGCTATGCTTCCGAACGTACGCCGAACGTACGTTTAGCACATCGAGAATCATTTACATTCCAAGACACAGAAAATGTAGATATGCTCGAGTTTCTTGCAAAAAAAAAAAAAACTGCCACTACCAAAACAAATTATGACCATGTCAAAGTCATGAGATGAGATGCAAATTTGTTGCTTAAACTGTTTTTAGTTTTAATGAAACATTACTTTTTGTTTTTATACTGAAGCCTAGTTTCTAACATTTTGTATATCATTATTTCTATATTTTCACACGTGTTGATAATTACTTTGAATTTGCTAGTTCACCAAACTACAAAATGTGCAGCTCTTTTTTTAACCAATTGCTGTAAATTTAGGTGTTTTTTGTTGAAACCTAAATACAGATATGTGTTGACTTTGTCTTCAACTTTTAGTGGTACGTGTTACATGTACTGTACAAATATACTATTAATGTTTTTTCTATTGAAAATTTTTTATGAATTGTCACAACAGATTGTAGAATAGGGTGCAAAAATTCACTCGTATAATTATTACAAATAACCAAAGCACCAAGTTGTTGTTGTTTTTTATTACTGTTCTTCTTCCAGCATTTCTTTTATGGTGGTAGTGCAAAGGTATCAAGTATTGTGGAGCCGAGTATTGGTATAGTCCACCACTAATGTGAATTCATAATCTTTTCTGAGAAAATGAAAATTGATCAGTTATGAAACCGAAATAAAACTATAAACTACAGGATTCTTACATTAACATTTCTGGAACATTATTAGCCAAGAATTTTAAAAGTAGTAATGTGATTCAAAACTGACAATTTTATCACTGATGTGGATGAACAAACAAAAATCATGCAAGTCAAAAAAAGTAGAACAAGGAAATATCACAACCAACTTAATCATTTAAGATAAAGATCACAAATTATTTAACATTTAATTTATACAAAATTTGTATCATGTATGGCAACTTGTATTTTCAAGGTTTGTGACTATTTTAACTATGCAGGGTGTGTCTGAAGAGTTCATGATTTATGTGTGTGTAAGGGGAACTGTGACTCAGAAACACTACACCTAACTCTGACAAATCAGCAAGTTTCATGTCAATGAGTGCTGCTTATGGAACTGGATTGCTAAATTCTTCAAATGTTTACTGAATAATTCATTATGGTTTGGTTAAAGTATTTCTAAGAGTCACACAGAAATTCATTGTTTAAAACATACAGAGAATAAGTATAGAAAACTTTTTCTGGTAAAGAACTCTAAAGAAGTTGTTACAAATGATACCAACATTTAATTTGTATAAGAAGCTTTGAATATTACACAATGTTTTGAGATATATGTGTTACTCTGTAGTTGTAAAAAAACACACATCAAATCCTTGGTCACATGAAGAAAATCACAATTTATTGTTGATTTTTTCAGAAAGCTATGACTCTGAGCACAGTCCATGTATCTACTTTTGAAACAACTATTTTGTCACAGTAACAAATTGTTTAACAGGAAACAAATTAAAAATATAATTAAGACCTAATATGAATAGCTACATATGAACGTATTAAGTTACAGTGAAAATGAGAGAAACTGCACACATCCACAAGACTGTTTACCAAGACTTGCTGCTTCTAAATGCTGGTTTTTCATCTGACTCAAGATAAGAATCAATGCTTTATTGCAGTAACACTGAAATGCACATTTTTAAACAGACTTTTGTCTCATTTTTAAATACTAACACAAGAATTATGTGCATAACAGCAGCAGTGACACTTAGCTAACTTTTAGAGTTGCAGAGTTCTGAATAATTCTTTAAAGAAAACTTCTGACTAGACAGCATAGTTGTGGCATTCTAAATGTGACAGTCCATTGAAATTTCATATTGGTAAAGATGATAATGTTAGAAATAAATAAAATGATTATGTTCTGAGCTGACTAGTACTGTTAAATTATAACACTTTCCATGTTCAAATCTTTGTTGCTTCCAGCTCTATTAGTACTCCAACAAACTTACACTTATTAAGACATACACTAAAAAACAAAAGCTGGGAAGATGACATCACTTCCCAATGCTGTAACCAGCATAATCTAACGACAACAATCATATACACGATTTATTTGGCTACGTTTTCTAAGGTCAAATAATTTAAAAATTATAAAAAACTTAACATTACAGAGCTAATAACCAACATATGTGATTTATTTTATATTGTGTTAACAAGCACATTTTACAAAATTTGCTATATAATTGAATAAGTCACTTTCCAGAGCACGGCCTTTCACTTAAAACTATATATATATGAAGATGGCTTGTTCTTATTCACTCTTCCATGTCTCTTAAAATGTGTGAGATTCTTCTTATTAAAACAAACTGGATTTCTTACTCAGTGAATAATAACAAAAAAATAACTTAAGTTTCATTTACAACAAAAATATCCCACGAAGTACATGCCAATTAATGAATCCCAATGATTATTCTTCCACTTTTCGTATTTAGTTTCAACTCCACATGATTTATGATAATACTTAAGAAGTAATCAAAAAAGAAGGGCCTTAAATGAATAACGGCATCTTTTAAGTAGGAAGGGTAACACATACAGAGGACTTGTGACACAACATTTTGGAATTTCCGGAAGATTGTACGGTTTCTGAGAACTGTATGGATGACTAAGAAGTTACACCAATATTTTTTCTTGCCACAGGGACAGAAGATTAAATGGAAATGCATAATGAGGCAGGTTCTCAATTTTTGTCTGGATGATGACCAGCTGACCTAATGCCTCCACTGCTATGTAGCAGGACCCTCTACCATATTTCTGTTTGGACAGTAATCTTCATTCACTACAGAGAACCCTCGGAATTCTTCCTGGTTGATAGTGCGGATTACATCAGGATTTACTTGGGTCAACACCGGATCTTCTTTGGTGAAGTCCTGATCAAAGTTGTTCACGTCTCGTTTGGTTTTCTGTTGAAAAAAGTATGTTACAGATGTAAGTTCCTTTGAAACATAAAACATTGTAAGCAGTGGTAGTTTCAACATGATGTTCAAATCCATAACATCTTATAGAGATTCTGGTAATACCTTCTAAAGAACTGATTATTATTTAATGACAGAAAGATGATTCTTGCATCTTACACATAAACATGAGTTTACCATTTTCTGTAAAACTTAAGGAAACAAAATTTTAAAAGTTCAAATGAAACCTCATTTCAGATAAATTCATACCTAATTCTTATCATTTCCTAACAAGTAATCAAATACCAACAGAATTAATATTAAATAGGTAAAAACAAAATAGATGGTTTAACATGGAACTTTGTGTTTCACTCAAGTTTTGATTCATTGATTGGTCCAACAACTTTCTATCAAAATTAACATTTAGAACAAAGTATCCATTTAATCAAAAAAAAAATTTGGTGGAAGAATCTTTAATTATATACATAATAAAAATATTATCCCACCATATACATGCACACACTAGCTGAGAATACCCTTTAGAGAATCACAAATTGTATAAACGCAATGTTCCCTTTCTTCTTTCTATTGTTATCAAATCCCCAGTAATGTCATTAGATGCTAATTGCATACTTTGCTTTGTAGAAAGTAATAATTGACTCTTTTAACTAAGTACTTATTCTATAAATTCAAAGCCAAAAAGTCTATAAAAAAGATGGAGATTTGTCATTTTTCATCTCCCTTCTTGGGCAAAAATCCTAAAACAACATGTACACTGTCAGGCAGTTCCAGTTACTATAGAAAAAATTACAGTAATCGAGCCAGCCAACTCTGGGTGATTCTAACACACACACAGTGGATCGTCTTTCTGTTTTAGCTTAAACAATAGGTAATATCTCATAAATATGGCAAAATAAATCAACATTGCATTATTCACTTTGAATCATTTTATTCATGTGCCGTAAAAATTAATTTAAATTCAGTTTAAATTCACCACATAACATTTTGTTCAGTGTAACTCGGTGATGATTAAGTGAATTTGGAACCAAAATGAATGTAAGTTTTGTTTTACAACACATGAATAAAATGGTGCAATGTGAGTACTGCCAAGTTACTTCATTTTACCATGCTTAAATCTACTGTTTGTGCTAAAGCAGAATTTTAGCTTTTTGTTTTTGCTCAAGTGTTTTTATATGAATTTCGTTATATCAACTCAAGACATTTACACTGTATTCATTATTGTTTAACTAGACCTCTTAAGGTAAGTAACTCATTCAGGAAAGTAACATGCAGATAAGGATATTGTTAATACTACAAACACCGTCAAATGGATTACACAGGATTGGAAAGTGCAAGGAACAACCAGAAGCAGCAGTAACACCACATGACATTCTTGTTCTGAGCTAAGCTATGCAAAATGAACTCTAGGAAAGAGAATGATCAGGTGAAGGGAAAAATGATATTTTTTATTAATCCAAGTTTTTTCTATTCACCACTGATGCAACATAATTTCAAGAATAAATATTTATCTACAATTAAAAAGTTTGTTTTGTTTTGAATTTTGTGCAAATCTACACGAGGGTTATCTGCACTAGCCGTCCCTAATTTAGCAGTGAAAGAATAGAGGGAAGGCAGCTAGTCATCACCACCTACCGATAACTCTTGGGCTACTCTTTTACCAATGAATAGTGGGATTGACCATCACATTATAATGCCCCCATAACTGAGAGGGCAAGCATGTTTGGTGGGACAAGGATTTGAACCCATGACCCTCAGATTATGAGTCGAGCACTCTAACCACCAGGCCATGCTGGGCCTAAATTAAAATGAACTAGGTAACTGTTTTAGCTAAGCAAGCACAGATTGAATTCATTGCTTCACACTGCTAGTGCTAGGATTGATGTAAATTACAATGTTTGTGAAAAATAAAGCAAGAATCTGCTGGTCGTGATTGCTAGGTGCTTTCAGTGCAAGTTCTCTGTCCAGCATTTGTTGCTGCACTTGACATGTGCTTACATTTTAAACTCGATCCCCCCTAGTAGCAGCAAATGATGGTAGTATAAAATTTATTTTTAAAGCTATTTTAAATTTTTGGTGATTAATCTTTGCTAAAGGGTGTGCACTGAACGTCTTTCTTCATATTCATACAATTAAGAAAACTAATACTTTCTTTTTTTTTACTGGACAAAGATTAGGGACATTGAAAGTTTTAAGGATAACTTCAAACAGCTTTAGTATTAAAAGTAGGCAAAGTTAGTAAATGAAAATTTTTTTAACGTGCTGCAGCATAACATTTGCTATTTCTACTTCTGAAGAAGAGAAGTAAACATGCATATTTTATACATAATATGCAAACTATGTAAACAGGAAAGATTACAGTGGCTTTGTTTGATTTATATAATACTTAATATACTTTAATTTATTTATAGGCAACATACAGGTTTCTATCTGAATAGTTATTCTTATTTACTGAACACAAAGAATGCTGGTATTAAAAAAAAATAGAATTTGTGCCTCTAAACATTTGTCAACATATAAAAAAGCCAATGAAAAGCCTATAGAAGACAATAATTTAGAATTTTGTCACATATGATATAAGAGTTAGGTAATTAGTGGTATTTGAGAATTGCTAAATCAATGGGCTCATTAACTGATTACTACTTGCCTCTACACCATAAAATAAACAAAAGGAATCTGGGTTTCCTTTACAACTTTTTTCAACCACTGCATTATGTTCATAGTTTTAACACTGTTTTTCTTTTTCTTAAAGTATATTTTCACTTATCATTGGGTCTTATGATAGACCTCTTCTGAAGGTTGATTTGCATGTTTTGAGAAAAACAAAAGTTTATCTAAAAAATATTATACACAGATTTTATAATCTGGACATTTCCTATTTGGCACTCACCTAATGTCAATTAAGTACCACCATGTGGTCACCATTATTTTTGTTTTTTAAAATATGCAGTAATTCTATACTGATCTTCTGTAAATCAAATAAAGTAGTAACTAAATAACGAAAACATGTTTTATATAACTGATACTTGAAATCGGTGAAACTCCATAATTACAGAACTGAGGAAGAACAAGACAATTGTACATATCACAAATACATAATTTATTACGACCAGGGTTTCCCCAGTAAAGGCATCATCAGGTACAGACTGAATTGTTTTGTAGCAGGGTTTATATATACACACACATGCGCGTTTAAACAAAGAATCAGAAGTGACCTTGACATTCACCTACAGACAAGTGGGGTAAGAAGTGAGGAGGAGCTTAAGTTGGTTTGGTCATTTAGAACTTTTCTGGACTTGTTTTTAGAGAATTAAAGAACACTCTCAAAATTGGAAATAAAGGAAAATGGATTCAACCTTTGCATCCTACCTTACTGAAACTAAACACCAATTTGCTCCAGAAAAAAAACTGCAAAATTTCACATATCTGTGAAAAAAGGTAAAAAAACTAGACAGTCTGGAAACTTTAGAAATAAATAGATGTCTAAAAACAAGTCCAGAAAAAGTTCTAAATGACCAAATCAACTTAAGCTCCTCCTCACTTCTTACCCCACTTGCCTGTAAGTGAATGATTGTAGTTAGTAATAATTTGGTCAATTTATTTACGTATGTTGTTTGAATAAGATAAACATACAAATAATATTCAATAAAGATTTAAGTCATCAGGATATTTTACAGTTGCTTATGATATTCACTAAACAGTAAACTTAACTGAACTCGGGTGATTTGATGATGATTTTATTTTGTGAAATAAAAGAAAAACTCATGATTACAAACACTGCAACTCAATAAAACCATAGTATATCTATTAAAAACTAAAAACACAATATTTAAACAAAGAATTAAATATCAACAAGACAACTTCATTAAGCCTTAAACAATTTCCAGTCATGCAACTTCTTTCTTTTAATTAAGAATATTAACTTTGAATGCGTTACGATTAAGAATATTAACTTTGAATGCGTTACGATTAAGAATATTAACTTTGAATGCTTTATGCTACGAAGACATTACAGAAAGCTTTCAATTAAATCTTTTTTTTTTACACGATGAAAGGAAAAAACCATTATGAAAACAAGCTTCTACTTTTCTTTCAGTTGAAAAAACAAGATGCTAATAGAATATACTCACAATTTTCGGTCTAAAAGGTGGTTTAACTTTTCGGCTTTCCAAAGCATCCCAATCAATTTCCTTGAAAAATATATGGTTTAATATTGCCTGCTCCAGACCCTGAGAAGGTACACACCCTAATCGTTTAGCAGGATTCTTGGTCATGAACTGAAATAATAAAAACTTTTATTCTTCAAACTATAATTAGTACTTCAACTGTGATTCTACAAGTCTTACGAATAAACGAATGAATGATATAAATCATATAATTATTTCCATTTAACTTGTAGCAATTTATAGAATAAAGGTTACAAATTCTTGCCAGTTCAATAAGTAATTTTTTTTTAGTATAGTTATTTTTCTAATGAAAACATTCCAATAAAAATGTACCAATTCTACAGATAATATTCTTACGCTTTATAATTTGCAATAAAATTTTTTTTATTTATAACAGTTGCATATATATATATATATTTAGTATTTTAGTAGAAAAATGTCTACAAATAGTTATATCTTTACAGATAAAATTCCTAAACACATTTTACTTTTTACTAGTACCGCTACACACATTTTACTTTTTACTAGTACCGCTACACACATTTTACTTTTTACTAGTACCGCTACACACATTTTACTTTTTACTAGTACCACTACACACATTTTACTTTTTACTAGTACCACTACACACATTTTACTTTTTACTAGTACCGCTAAACACATTTTACTTTTTACTAGTACCGCTAAACACATTTTACTTTTTACTAGTACCGCTAAACACATTTTACTTTTTACTAGTACCGCTACACACATTTTACTTTTTACTAGTTCTCCACTTCTATAAACAAGTTAGTTTTACATTCAACCATACAATGTTGTTTACAGTAATCATAAAAGTTGTGTTCCCACACTGAACTTACCCCTTTGAGAACAGAAACGGCTTCCTTGCTCAACCAAACAGGATATACAACATCTTCATGTAAGATAGACTCAAAGAGGTCATCTTCATTATCAGCTTCAAATGGTGGCTGTCCTGCCATCATCTCGTACATCAGTACACCCAGAGCCCACCAGTCGACAGAAGGACCATATTCTAACTCTTGCAGGATCTGGTATAAAAAATGTAGTGTTGGAATTTTATTCACACAACAGCCAATTCAAAATGAACCAAATGGTTTATGAATATTCTGTAGTTATAGAGTACTCATTTCAGTTTACCACAGCATAATAAACAGTACAAGTACACTTTAAATGATTTAATTCTGATAAGTAGTTTTTATGTAGAATTTAAATAAATGTGTAAATACCAAGTAGCTAATGGGATAATAATTATTAAGTACTTAACACCAACTAGAAACCTTTGTGTGCAAAATAAGAGACTAATGATAAGACTTGCATTTCAAATGACAAAAATGTTACAGTTTGATTATAGTGGGGTATATTGTCTGTTATAGGTAAAGCCTAGTTTAACTGCTAACAGAGATATGGATAAGTGGTCCTGTCTTTATGTTTATTTTAGATTAACAATATTACATTATTTAATTATCTATGAATCCAATGTAGTACCTCAGGTGCAATGTAATCGGGAGTACCACAGAATGTTGTCGTTGTAGCACCACCAGCGATTCCTTCTTTACACATTCCAAAGTCTGCAATCTTGCAGTGTCCTTCACTATCTAACAAGATGTTGTCCAACTTGAGATCCCTAGAGGATGTTTTACACTTCATTTACCAAATAAACAAGTAAAAATAATAATTCCTCGACTAAGTCTACTTCGACCTTGAACAACAATCCCACTAGTTTATGGACTACTTTAAAACCATACTTACTGGTTTAAAATATACACAAAACATCAAATATATTTATTTGAAATAAACTACTTACACCACATGTGAATGTTCACATTACATTTCTAACACCAGAGAAACATTGACAGTATACTGTTTACACTTAACCTCTTGTTCAATGAAATATTCTGTACTTAACCTCTTGTCCAATGAAATATTCTGTACTTAACCTCTTGTCCAATGAAATATTCTGTACTTAACCTCTTGTTCAATGAAATATTCTGTACTTAACCTCTTGTTCAATGAAATATTCTGTACTTAACCTCTTGTTCAATGAAATATT